CAGAATGGGGTTAACTGACTACACGTATATAATTTGCCCATGTTTGACCGACGACTGACAAAGTATCTTAACTGCAGCTGACAAACGATGAAACAGCAATATTTGAGCTTCCGCCTCACAAAACACCGGTAATGTTAACACCGGTCAAAATGGCGGGGAAAGTGTCTGTTAAAATAATAGAGAGGTTAGAGAGGTTCCGGTTTTCGGGTATACGGGTGATACTGATATAATAATAATAATAATAATAACACTTTATTTAACGAGGATTTACAGATAAAGCTACAGTACCAGCTTGTTTCCAATCTGGTCCTCTTAAGTTCTAGAAATATATTACATCACGTGATTACAATACTCATGCAGTTAACATTCTTTAGAAACGTAGGATATACAGTCACGGATGCGTCACAAACACACAACATACACAGATACATCACAATCACACTACATTAACAATCTTTACAAACTCATCAGACCATATTCTTTTGTATTTCGTCGGTTTTTAACTCCGCCGTAATAACCTTCAATCTAAAAGCAGGCGGTGGTATTTGATTTCTCCGGGGGAAATACGGGGTTGAAGGTTATTACGGAAAAATAATAACCGGGTAGCAGGTTATTACGGAAAAATAATAACCTGGTAGCAGGTTATTACGGAAAAATAATAACCTGCTAGTCTGCTACCAGGTTATTATTTTTCCGTAATAACCTGCTACCAGGTTATTATTTTTCCGTAATAACCTGCTACCAGGTTATTACGAAAAAAATAATAACCAGTTACCTGGTTTTACATTTTCAATTCAAGACCTGGCATGAGTCTTGAATTCGGGACTTGAATTTGCAGGAAAACTCAAGACCCACATCTCCTTTTCGACTAGAAAACGTTGCACGTCTCTAAGTCGAGAAAGAGACAACAACAGCCGTGTACCTCAGAGCCCGTCAAAACTCTACCATTAGGTAAGGGTATCTATCATTCGGCGCACGAGGACTAGCTGGTAAGCTGGATCAACCATCAAACATTCTTGTGCAGGGAATTTATACAGTAATATCTGCTCTTTTGCTTGTGGGACGTGAAATGATATACTGCGCATGCTTAACCACATTTTAAAGCGTGTTAATGCGCATGATACACCTAGTTATTTCGTCCCACAACTGCAGCGACCTCTCATTGAATTAATATAGCTTGAATTTTTAATGAAGAAAACCTCCAAAATTCAAAAGAATATGGTCTGATGAGTATATAAACAAGTTAAAAGCCGCGGGTATCGGTTTTTATTAAACTGTAAAGACCTCGGGCCTTCGGCCCTCGGTCCTCACAGTTTAATAAAAACCTCTCCCTTGGCTGTTAACCTACATATAACTATCAACAGTATTAAAGTTTTTATGTACTATTTAAAGCACGCGTAGGAGTGTTTTATCAGATATAAAACGCGAGGCGCAGCCGAGCGTTTTATATGATCTGATAAAACACGACTACAAGTGCTTTAAATAGCTTCAAAAACGACTCATCTTATACGAGTTCATTCGCGAAGTAATTTTTAAAATAAACTTTGTCTAAACCGAGAAAATCAAAGCTAAAGTTTATGTAAATTAACATGATTTTTTATCACATATAAAACCACGACACGATTTTTCTTTGTGTTTTCCTCCTGAATTATTAATGAGTTTTTGAAATTAATATAATCTTTTTGTGTTCAATTCAGTCATCTTAGCCAGTTTGTTCTTAAAGTGTTCTTTACAGAACGATCTAAACCCGCGTGTTGTGGTAAGTTTTTTTCCCACGTCTGGAAATTTGTTCCACAAGGAAGGAGCCAGAAACGAAAACCTGCGTTTCCCTGCGTTGGTCCTGGCTTTGGGGAGAAACAGGTTATTGTTTTCTACTGCCCTTGTAGAGTGGTGGTGTTTCGGCTTTTCTACAAGCGTGCTGAGGCAAGGTGGGCTAATTTTGTGGAAACAGTTGAAGGTTTGTAGAAGGATGCGATGGCGGATGGTATCGACTGTAGGGATGATTTGAAGGTGTTGGAACAAAGTTAAGGATGGAGTAGTGTAGTCCGCGTTCACGAGAATTCTTGCAGCTCTTTTTTGGGCGGATCGGAGGTTAATTGACTAAGCGCATCCCCAGAACAGTTACCCCACACACTACAGCAATATTCTAGAGTTGGCTTGGCCAAACTGTTGTATAAGACAAGTAAAAGTTCAGGTGTTAAGTAGGGTTTAGCACGTTTAACTAGTTCTATAGTTTGGTGTTGAATTTCTTTATAACAGCAGAGATGTGTTCATTCCAACTTAGGCAATCATCCATGTGTATTCCAAGAAGTTTTCCGGAAGATGATTGGGATAGGGTGGTGCCACAAATGGAGATGTTAAGAGGCTCAGCTATGGTCGCGAGTTTTCTCTTCGTTCCAACTAGCATAACTTTGGTCTTAGTGTCAGGATGTATTGCCATTCTATTCTCAGATGCCCAGGTAGCGAGGTTGTCAGCTCCAGACTTGCAAGTGTGTTCGTACCGTATTGATTGTTGGTCCAGAATTGGCTAAAGTAGTGTCATCAACATAGATGTAGGAAATGCATTGAGTATTTGCAAGAGGGATGTCATTGATAAATAGGATGAAGAGGAGAGGCCCAAGAGATGAACCTTGCGGGACGCCACTGCGAACTGGTAAGAGATCTGAGGTTGAGTGGCCAATTGAGACGAGTTGTTTGCGTTCTGCCGAACCATTGTAGTGTTGCGTCTTTAAGTCCGTAGATAGCAAGTTTCTGTAGGAGAATTTCGAAGTTCATGGTTTATCAGGTCAAAAGCTTTCCGGAAATCTACTAAAAGTATTCCACTTAGTTCACCTTTGTCCATGCTATGAAGTAACGTGTTTGTAAGTTGCAGTAACATTGTTTCACAGGAATGAAGGGGCCGTGATCCAAATTGTGAGCTTGTAAGTAAGTTGTATTCGTTAAGATAGCTTATGAGATGTAATCCGTAATAGCGTTCCACGATTTTTGACAGTACTGACAATACAGAGATTGGTCTATACCTATCTTTGTCTTGGCGTGAACCCTTCTTAATTTGTGAAACTTCAAATTGGTCTTTGTGAAACTTTTGCGAAAGAAGCCATGCATCCTCCGTTTTAATTTTAGTTAAACATTGCCGGTTCAATATCCAAGGAAATTTAAAGTGATTTTGGTAATAAAATTTAAAGAAATTATTCAGTTTAGCATTGAAACTAGAAGCAGTATACTATATCTATAGGCAGCACCTTACCGAAAACCTGATTTCACAGACGCCTTTTCTCGGGCAAATCGAGGTACGTAACGTAACGTATAGCGAAATGGATTTGCGCAGTAAAAGCGAATTACACTTTGTACGGAGATAAAAAGAAGTCATACGTTGCGCTACTCATACTACAATCCATAGCAGCATAGGAGCGGTAGGCTAGTGCAAGTCTTTGAGTAGTAATGAATTAAGACTATCAAAGCTCAATAACATCACTAGGAAGAAAATTAAGTGGCATACAATTTACAGTATTAAAAACACGCTTCTCTAGCTTAGTACAATAATATCGGCGAAGAGGCCAATGAGTACGCATAGTCTCCTGTGCATAACTATTTAATACATGAGCGGTTCCTCGGTTTTTAGGTATGCGCATTAGATCAATGATTATCCTGCCAGTCAGTGAATTTAAGATGGCGCCAATGGTGCCCGCTCCAATAGACCTTTCCGGTAATTACGTCACAACTACACTGTTTTCAACATAGAACCACCTTAAATGGAATAGATTTCATAGTGGTCAGAGAAGCAGAACATCCTTCGTCAACACATGCATAAAAAATAATTTTGGATTTTGAATATTAAATGTGGAAATAAGAGGCTGAGGGACCCCTCTTGGCCCTCAGCCTCATTTTCGTGTTTAAGCTAATTTCCACATTTAATTGAGTCAAATCCATTTTATGCATGTAGCCCGTGAGAAACAAACTTAAAATCCATTCCATTTAAGATGGTCCTAAGTTGAAAACAGTGTTAATCGTCAACGTAATTACTGGAAATGTCTATTGAATTGGCCCTTTCCTTCATGAAAGTGCCCTCCTTTTCTGGATTGAAGGTGCAGTTTTCTAATTATAGGCAAAATCTAAGGTAAAAATTACCTCCCCAAAATGCAGGAAATAGTGTTACAGAGACCTTAGAAATCCAAATGTAAAGACTTTGATGTGAAAATCAAAAAATTGTTGATAAATAAGCCAAAATAATAGTGATTATGCTATCAATCCTATCATGCCATGTCGATTCACTCTGTCTTTATATCGTCCCACAATATTCACTTGGAGAAGTATAATTCAAGCCGTAAACCAATGATGACAGTGTCGTTTGGTAGCACGATCACAGGCAAAAAGCTCTGGGTACGAGGTTGGTCTGGTGGTTCATGTAGTTGAACTCAGGTGTGGCAGCTGACTTCTTACACGTGCGTTCGAAGAAAACAAGAACAATTATTACAATATTAGTGAATCCTGAGTTGGACAGTTTGTGAGAAGACCTGCCAGACGTTTGAGATATATTTTCACATTAACGAAAAATGAATTACATTTCGAGCAAACCTGATCTCCTTGTTCTCGTAATTCTTGGATATTTCTCTGAATCATATGGATTTTGCGGTTAAGATCAAACCGAGCTTGCGCGAGAATTTTAAATTGCTTTGTAACAGTCATTTTACAATGTGGCGACAATAGTCTGTTCATAGTGCATGTGCTTTTCACCTCTGCAACCAGTAACAACTATGCACTTTTGTGCTGACTAGCCAACCTCCTTTCAGTGACATACAGCCTGCGTAATTGGGGCTTTTAAGTGGCCCCACGCGGATAAGCTACATGTGGAAAAGTGAGCGTCCAGTATGACTAGTACTTGGCCTACACGGCAGGGTGAATTTCACTCCAACTGGAAGGATAGACTTTAAACCTGACCAGGTTTGGTGCCATGAAGCATGATAGGACATTCAGGTATGTGGCTTAATTTAATTCCGAAATATTTTTGTGGGTTCTATCACAAAAAAATTTATCACTAGACACTTTCACTTTATCTGACTGTTCGAATTGGTTATCACTGCTCACTATAACATTAGGTGTGAGTAAGATTTCAGTACCGATCTATAGTATGTCAAACGTATAACAGCCATCAGTGAAGTCGGTATATCAACTCAATAGCTGACCAAATATGGAGTTTTCGACATAACATTCAACGGAGTGACGTCATGATGTTGATACGAAAAAGTAATATTAAACGCTATGACGCCATGCCAATGAAGGAGTGAGGAATTGTGAATTTACATAAATATATCCTGCAACCGACCCTAGTTTCATCGTTTAAATAAACTGTAAAACAATGAAGAATTATCCGAATGTCCCAGTTAATTTGTGTTATTATACATTTAATATGTATTCTCGTTTCTAATTGGTCAGAAAGCACCGGCTAATTTTCATTATTTGGCATTTATTACGTATTTTCCGCCGATGACGTCATCAGCGTCCAATAATTGTTTTTTTGGATCGAACTTGCATCCAAAAAAACAATTATTGGACTCTCTCGTGCCCAAACCCTTGCGCGGCCAAAAGCTTGAACCTATAAGCGCGCGAAAAAAAAAACAAACAAACAATGGCCTACAGCAGATTTGCTTCGCTGAATGAAAGTGAACTCTCCAAATTATTGGCAGATAAGGATAGTGAAAGCACGAAAAAAGCCACAAAGGGGTAAATAGAAGTAGAAATAGAATATTTAGCTGACCTTTGACTTTGTGCAAGGTGTTTGATATTCAAATTGTACTTTTCCTACCTCATGAACAGGAATCGTTTTATACGTTTCTCATGTCTTTAAATGTATAATAAAACAATTATTGGATTCGGTTTTCGCATGATATCAAGAATTATTCAGACCTCGGTCTATGTTATCCGCCTCAGCTTCGGTTCGGCAGATAACATTGACCTCGGTCTGAATAATTCTTGATATCATGCTCAGCCTCATCCAATAATTGCTTATTATCGATGGTTAATAACACAAACTTCGGCTTGATAAATTCTTCAGATCCGTACTCAACCACTTTCAATAATTGCTAAATGATTATTATAAGCTTGCCATTTCGTTTGGTCTTAGCTATACCTGTCGAAGACCACAGTTGCTAGTGGCCGAACACGTTTCGAAAATAATTTTGGTCAGTGCCAGTGGACGAATTATTAAGCGGTCAAATATTTCCGTTCCCTAAAAAGAACAAATCAGCCCAGTCATTAAAAATATGATTACTCCTAAGTCATCCCAACAATTGAAATACTGCTCATGTAGAACACTGCTGTTATTCAAAATTCCTTCAACTGTAAAATTTTTGCCGAAGAATTATGAGAACTATAATAAAATATTTTGAAAACTTTTCAACATCGATAAAAGATATTCAGCCTAAGTAATGCCGGGTTTAAATTAGGTAACGGTGGGCAGTCATCTTATAATTGTCTTGTTTATTGAAGAGAAATGTTTAACCGACATATGAAAAGGGTGCACCCGAATTTCCTAGGGGTGGCTCACATTAGGGTACCAGTCAAAGTAAATTGTTAAATTAGGTTACTTCGGACACATGAAGTGTGCTGAATCCAGAAACGTCTGCGGCATAAAAGCTCGAGAGTTGCTCATTTTTACCTTCTAAGAGATCTAGCCGACATACGCGCCGACATAGTGTCTCAAATTTACGCAGACTTTGTAATTAGTTCCATCTGCGCGGACAGAGTATATAGAACAATCACAATTTGGGTTTCCGAATGCGGTGCTTGTATCGGATTGCGCGACATCATTTTGAGAAGGAATAAATAATCTGATGTTTGACATAGAGCGATGAGGTATTTCACACCCAAAGTGAACGGCCAGTTATAACCCTCGCGTTATTTTTACAAGAGCAGGACACCACGCGAAGAATTTAATAATAATACAAGTCGCGTAGACTTGTTGAACGATGCAGCTGTAAGCGATCAACTTATGGCAACAGGCAAGCCGTCGAAACATGACAGCCCTTTGGATTGTACTGATAATTCACCCGTTTTAACTTGACATTTGATTGGCCCATGATAGTCGCCGAATAGTACGTATAATAGCGCACAAAATTCAGCAAGGATTACATCACACGAGGGAATAGAGAAGCGAAAGTTCGGCCGGTGGGAGTGAGCTGTTGTTTTCATACACGAGGAAATATTGACTGACAAATTAGTAAGAAAGTGTCGAACATTGGGATGATATATTACCGCACAGATGGAAATTCAAGTGAGAAACAGCCATAAAACACTGCGTGAAAATACTTCTCCAACAGAAGTCAACGAAATAAATGATTATGATGACCAACGATTGGGGAAGAGAAAAAAGCGCAGATCACGCTTGACTGGTCTGAGCAAACAACGTCAGGCGGCTAATGCAAGAGAACGAAGCAGAACTCACAGTGTGAATGCGGCGTTTAGTACACTTAGGGTGTTAATTCCGACTGAACCATCCGACAGAAAACTTTCAAAGATTGAAACTTTACGTCTGGCAACAAGTTATATATCGCACTTAGGAACATTACTAGTCAGTGGTTCACAGTGTGTGAATAATTCTGATGTTAAAGACAATATCACTGTACCTGTCTCTCCATCGACTGGAAGAATTTGTACATTTTGTTTAAGTCTTCTTAAATCGGTAAGTTGTTTTCATTGTTCCTTAGTTTAGCAATCTTTCGTAATAAAGATATTTTCAAAGGTTTATATTACTCTTTAAAAATAAATACATACGGTATTCGCCTAAAAACCAATAAAGCGACAGAGTTTGCAGCTACTCTACATATGTACTTATACAAACAGGTATTGTGACTGAATATGTCTGAATGATTATGCGAAATGAAGAGAATGATTTTGGAGGATTTCTAATTTCTTCTCAGGATATATAACTATTCATATAAAAGCCAATAAAACGATCAAGGTCGACCTGTACACGCATACCAACACAGAAAAAAAAGCATTATATGAATAGGTTTACTCTGGCTGATTATATGCCAATAAAAGAGAGTAAATACTATTAGATTGCAATTCGAAAGAACAAGTCATCCCTTCTGTTCCAGAAAGCCAAATCATAAATCACAAATCATTTCAGGTTGTTTTTCCGCATTTATTGCCAATAAATGGCAATTCTTTTCATTATCTTGGCTACCGCACAAGATATCGGGAGGAGCGCGCTATTTACTTATTCAATTACATTGTGTTATCTCTTAACACCAACATTGGTTCATCGCCGGATGATAATTTACTTTCTGGTGGCACTGCGCCTCACGCGATGTCGAGACACTAGGAAACACCAAACATATTTCATTGTAGCCAAATGTTGATGAAGTGGCTCCCGAACTGTGTGATTAAGTGCATAAATACTGAGAATAATTTTATAAACAAGACGTACCAGGTGTTTATGAAGCGATGAGATGATATCATATCATGGGGTAAGTATAATCCTTTCGCGCACGATTGTGATAATTGATAGTCTGATTAATGCGCTTATGTATGATTGTGTTTTTCTAAGCGCGCTTTTAGTAAACTTGCGCTTCTGGGCTTGCAGGAGCAAGCGCATTTAGACGAACTTCCGTGCGGCCTTAACATTACGATGTAAAAAATGTTGAGTCCATTTTCATGTTTTTGTGTGAAATTTATCAAAGTGCGGGAAGGAGGAGCACTTGCGCAAATCGCGCACTGGGTTGTCTGCTCATCTGGAGAACATCTGGGTGGAACGATATGACCTTTTCTGGAGGGATCAAAGTAATATTGGGGGTTTAAATCAGCCTAAAAGAGAATTTCAAACTGTTCTCATGATTATCAACACCAAACTAATATAAACTTCATAATCCTATTAGCCAAACACGATGTACAAGGACAATGAAATTCTTGATGGACATGTTGGAACTCCCCAAGTGAGCTGCACATTCTCGTGTTATGACTAACAGGCATGGTTTACACAGCGCACAATTAAATGAACACTATCTTCTTAGCTTGAGCTCATATTCATTATTTTAATTCATTGATATGCCGAAAGAGCATTGAGGTCATTCTTTGAATAGTGCGAAAATTGTTGATGACCTAATGGTGTGGACATCACGCTTGATAAATGGAGTTTGTACAAGATGTTTAACCTAGGAATGTACAACTGTGCGTATGTATGTCTTTTGATAAAAAAAATTGTTTGTAACTTGTATGACAAGTATTTCTTCAACATTATTCCTCAATTTAAATCTGCGTCATTCCTAATTTGATTCTTCTAATCAGTTGGCAAATTGGACAATCTCGATGATATTATTACATATCCAGTATTAAAACCATACTTTATACAGTTTATAGCAGTTTAAGTAATTTTTAACTGATTCCAGGCTGTCCAGGGATAATTCCTAATGGCAAACTTATTTGATTACATGTTGATGTTATTTCACTGCAGTAACAAGACTCAATTGTTGCCAATTTGTGCATTTCACTGCCAAATTAAACTGTATGATATGCAAATGCATTAGTGCAAATTCAGATAACATTCTCGTACTACGAGAGAAATTATGCTTATCAGTTTAATATTATCCTAGACTCTTAGAGGCTTAGACTTCTTCTAGATTTTTTCTGAGCATACGCATTTAGCAATCTTGTCCTGCGGTAAACGCGCCTCGGACTTAATAGAGTCCAACTCTATACCTGCAAAGGTAACTGTGGTGGGTAACTGGGGACGCAATAACCTGCAAAATACAAGGAGAACATCTAGTTCTCTAATTCTTGTATTTTTCAAGCAGTTACATCCCTAGCTAGTAGCTAGCAATCTGAAGCTTTCTATTATTAGTATAGCTACAATCGTAGACATTACTGGTTGAGACTATTCCCGGCCCCCCCCCCCCCTCCCTTTACAAAATTCGCATATTTCTAATTATCATTAGTAAATCCCATGTTGCCCTACTTAAGCCCAACTCAATGTTGAGCTTGCATGTGTCATGGTATATTACCAAAAGTTGTTTCGGCGTTGTTTACAATGAACAGGGAGGAGACAAAGTTTGTTTTGTCAATGTTCAATAACTTTGTAAATTGAATATTGGCTGGAGTAGTCTCAAGGGTTTTGACCTAGATTGTAGCATTGTGGTGTCATATATATTGAGAGTAATATATTGAATATCATAATCGGAACCACGTCCATAAAACATTTATATACTGAAGTATAAGGTCGACAAAGTATTTGAAATCATTGATATAAATTATTAATAATAAAAACTTTTGATATGACTATACGAACCAGTAAAACGAATGAAATCTTATAGTTAATGACAAATTACAAGTAAATACTATAGGCTAGGTTGTTACCAGAACTTGAATGAAGAATTAATAGTTGGATATATTTTTAGTAAAACGTTGTAGTCGAAGCTACTCCTCATATGAGTATATAGTATTATATGAGATATTTTGTTGATTTCTGTTGTTAGATTTTCTGGTAAGGAAGATCGTTTGGACACCCACGAATTTTTCAGCGTAGTGCCGAAAGCGGTTTTAATTCGTAATTAAATTAGTTAAATTTCCGTTTAGAAACTGAATTTGTCTGGGCTTCAGTCGTTCGTAATCAAAATGTAATAAAAGTGTTTATGAGACCTATAGTCAAAGACAAATGTTTAGTGGCATATGCATTGGCGAGTCAATGTTAGTGACTTATACATTTCTTATTAAAATTTCGCGCGGACGAATAATCCGCGCAAAACGTTTATTGCTCTATAGCATCCCCGCGAAAGTGTTCGCCACCTTAACACAAAATCTGAGAGTTAGACAAGCAATATAACGCGGTGTTTTCAGAAATGTTGTTAAAGTGTGCACTTGATGTAACCAATTGCAACACTCGTTGGTATTATTTTAATATTTTGATCCAGGCCATGTAGGGTTCAGGGCCGATATAATTTTGTTGTGAGAGCCAAGTACCCGATCATTGTCTTTCATTTGATGAAGTACGTTTTCATCAAATGGTTGAACTACTTAAGTTAAAAATATCATAGAAAATATAGAACCTTCGTTGGTCTTCCGTTGGCAAATGTTCAGGATTTTCGCTCGAAACATCGACGGTTTTTCAGTATATTTTTGAGATAGTTACATGTCCTGTTAACTTAATTTAACGAAAACATCTTGCTTGGTTGAGCACTGCCTAGAATCGGGAACCCCACAATAAACGGAGGCTCTTTAATAGCAGGATAAAACTCTGCCCTCAGAAAGTAACCCCAGAGCATCCATTCTCGGTAATTAATTAACTCTTTCTCGGTAGGGTTTCATTTGAGTAAGAATCTTCAAGAAAAGGGACATGTTTGATATCTTCATGCACAGGGGAAAGCGAGGTCGATGAATAGCCGGAATTGAACTGATGATGAAATAGTTATGGTTTTATCTGTAAAAAAATTGGTTTCATATTATTCTACAGTGCAGGGAACAACGAAAAATTTGTTGTCTCGAGCGAGATTCGAACTCGCATCTTCGGGTTTCTAGATCACCGCTCTACCCATAACATTGAGCTATCGAGTCAACGGAGATTGGTTGGAGACTGGAGTCTATAGTTCATCCAATTTAAGTGCACGAAATATTTGGGCTTGGAGGACGCGCAGTGTTTCAGCTCTATTTCAGAACCATCCTCAGAGACATGAAAAACTATTATTGTCTATCATTGAATTCGTTGTCTCGGGCGGACATCGTGTGCCCGTCGACTCGATAGCTCAATGCATGGATAGAGCGACGGTCTAGAAACCCGAAGATGCCATTTCAAATCTCGCTCGAGATTCTCTGCAGTGTCAGGATAATATGAAACTGGCTTCCAGGGGTACTTTTGGATAATGAAAGGATCTTAAATTTTTCTCTTGTCATACCATACCGAATTGCAACGCACAATGAATGATTTTTTAAAAACATCGAAATTTCCAAACAAAAAGGGCACCTTCGATGTTAATATAGTATTTACAGCGACATTAGCTTGTAGAGAAAGGGAACTTTTCATCACAAAAAAGGGCACTTTTGGTCCTTTGTCTTTGACAAAAATTTTTTTTGGGGGGGGGGGGAGGCACGTGCCCCCTTGTCTCCGAGGTTCCTAGATCCTGTATTGTATCTCCATGTTTATGGTTCCTGCAGGCATACAAACAGTTCTCATGCGGTAAATTATTCGAATTCTATAGCTAATATATCCTTCCCATCACAGAGATGGTTATAAGTCGAGTTCGGGCATGCAGGATGTTTACTCAAACGATATGGTCATTAACACTCAATATCAGAATAACTTTAACTCATCACTCAACTGACAAGTATTCTTTTTAGGAAAGGCCACCATTTTGAAGTAGAATATGCATGATGTCAAAACGAAGAATGATGATGACCAAGGATAGAAGACTGGAACTGACTGAAGACAGGAGCCAATTCGCACGAATCAAAATTCTGCATGAGACTCACGGCTCTGAGAATTGACATTTGGCCATTATATGGACCACAAAAATCTATTGAATTACTGAGTGTACATGTGCATTAAAAGTGATTGAGAATCGTTAACTGCAGGTCATGTATATAAACTTGGTGACAATTCAATAGAAGAAGAATATGTAAAGATTATATTCATTTTTTGATGCCGTATCGGCGTTTGAACAAAAGATAAAGCATTGCATTTCCATGCCGCGTTATGTCATACTGTGATCAAGGAACTTGGATTTTTCCCCAAATTGTATTTTATTACTAAGCAAATAGCTATAGATGGGACTATGGTATACTGTTTAATGATGCCTTGTACTCATTCTATATAGTGTTATTTCTGTAAACTTTACTGAAATATCCATCATGTGAATAGAGAAGGCATGTGAACAAACTGGTGGTTCAATACTTTTGGGCATTTACTCACTTAATATACTTAACAAACCAAATACTTTAGTTCCAGCCATAACGTTTTCTACAAAGAACTGTGCACTCCAGCCTCCCCATCATGGTTGATGTTGAATGGTTAGCTACGTCGACTATACCTATTTTTTACTACCGTTGATTGCTAGCCGTTTCTCATTTGCTATTTTGCTTGTATGGGAGTCCGATGGGGGATTTTCCCAATGAAACTTTGCGGCATTGATTAACCAAAAGGATAGCCTGTTTAATACAGTCTCCTCAACTGTCACGCCCCGGTCAAACGAGAACAAGAGTAATATATCTCCACGCGCGTAGCAAAAGTGTCATCAACTGAGGGATGCCAGAACCACGGGTGCAAGTGCCCCCTTTGCTTTTTGTACTCACATCTTCATGTGTGCATATATTGCGGGTGAAGACTGTCTATGGGTGCAACAGGTGCACAGGAGATTTGACACGAACATATTTAACACGAACAGATTACTTACGTAAATGCCTTGTGTCTGTATTGACTTGTTTGATTTTAAGTTTGTTGAAACTAGGAGATAGGCGCCCATTCATTTTTGTTTGTGCCCTTTTGTAAAGAATATGCCCTTTTGATAACAAGTCGCACCCGGTAAAGACCCTGGCTTGCGAGGTTGGTCGCATCCGTTGGCCTCAGCAACTTCCGGCACCCCAGCATCAACTGTCATCAAAATTTGAACCAGTTCAAAATTGATGAGAGTTGACGAGAGTGGACGAGAATCGATGAGATTTCACGATCAAACGCGAGCGAGAGTTGCAAGTCTCATCCTCGTTAAACCGAGGCTTAAAGATGATGTCCACTCCTGTGCACATGCGCGAACTTTGTTTACGTTTTGAACTGCTATATTTGTAAAATATGAAAAAACTAACTGAATATCTAACACTTTTCTGGTTCGCTATACTTGTAAATGAATATAAACTGCACGTTTAATGTTTATATCTGGGGGTCCCCCTTTGTTGTGAGCAGAACTGATGTGCAGAACGGAGTGGACATCATCTTTAATATTGAAGAGGTTCAGATTTGACTCCATTACCGCTATCACTATCTCTCATGGATCTGATTGGTTAACAATGAGCTTAAGCAAGGGGGGCATCCATTTAGTACGTACGCAAGGAGAGAGGGGTGAGGGGGGATAATCGATGCGTACATTTGCGTACAGTGGGGGAGGGGAGTGGGGGGGGGGGGTTAAACCGTTGTTTCGTACGTACGCATAATGATATTTTGTTGTGAACTCTTTGCAACAAATTGGCTAGATGTTTTCCCAGAAAGATTTCTTCCCCCTCCAGCAGTGTATGAATACACAGCGAATGGACTTAAAGCTGTTGAGCCATCGGAACATCTCAAGGATCCAAAAAAATTCATTTTTGCTGATTTAGAGAAACGATTAATCATTAAGAATCTACCCGCCAAAGCGAAAGAGTTTAAACAATGTCCACTCGATCTCTACTGCCCTTCAATGCAGGAAAAACTTATGAGGTGCGTTTGCGAAAAATGTGGTAGCTATTGGCCCAGCGAAGCTGCGAAACACCGCCATAAAAAGAGCCACTCGGTGAAGGAAAGTGCAGCCTGTCAGGCTAAAGATAGCGATACACTTGGCCAGGACGACGTGGAAGAAGATGTTATGGAGGAAGAAGACAATGGCAGCGCTTCTCATGCAATGGAAATTTGTAGCGACGTTGAAAGCGAGTCGAACTGCATCATGCCAGTAATTGAAAACCTCGCTGAATTTCTGAACTCGCCGTTTGTGGAAAAATGAGCTATTTACTTACATTTTACACTTTCGATTGTTTTTATCATTACATTTACACAATGTTATTGTTAAAATTTGTTATGAAAGTTAACTAGACACAAATCAGACAGTGGCTATGACTATTACTAAAATTGAGGTTAAAAATATTGAGCATGATGGGTAAGGGGGGGGTCGCTTATAGAATATTCTTGTACACATGCGTACGCATAGGGGGGGGGGGGAGCCAAAAAATCGTACAATTGCGTACAAAGGGGAGAGGGGGTGTTAAATATTCTGGAAATTTTGCGTACGTACTAAATGGATGCCCCCCAAGCGACGTTTTTGTCAACACGGACGTCACCCGAAAATTGGTATATCAAATTTTGGCGGCGTTTTGCATCATAGTGCTCGTGTAAAGAAGCAAAAAAATTTTAAAATCTTATGTTTTGTCATATGTGTTGACGATTACCACAACTGAGACAAACACAGTTTTTAATCCAGACTTTGGAACACGGACGTCAGATTGCGGAGGGGGGGGGACTGGATAATCCAGTCCCCCCTCGGCAATCTTACGTCCGTGTTCCAAAAACGTCACTTGCTTAAGCTCGCTAATCAGGTATATCAAACGCATCTGATTGGTTAATTATCCCTTATTGGTAGCAATAACGGCAGTGGAAGTCAAATCCGAACATCTCCATTATTAAGGCCGTTCCGTTAATTAAGGTCGCTTCGCCCGCGCGGGACGAGCGAACATTTTTGAACATGCGTTGTAGCTGTCCAGACCTATACTTTTCTGGCAAGATCACTTGAAAGAGGCGTCATATTTTTGCTAAATACATTAATGGTTATATATTCAGGAAAGCACTTCCGATACTAATTAGGCTATAATAATATCTACATATACAAGTTATACGGGCAATTTACCTATGACGTCGAACTGGCAAATATTTTCATCTTCAAGTTTCTTTCATCAAATCCCATTTGTTTAAAGTCAAAGTTGCCGCCAACTAAGCTGCCAAAATCGTTGAGCAACTTTGAGTTAATGTAACGCCATATTTAATATTGTCGTTGATTGCCTGCCAAAACTAAGATATTGACTATTGTCGGGTATTCACTATATATATAGTACCTGTTCTCCCAACACACAATAATTGTATAAAGTTATAAAGGCCATTGAGCCGTTAAGAGAATGTCAAGGTGGCCAGTGTCAGAGAGTGTGGCCTTTGTGAATGCTATTTTATAATGCCGCACTATTTCCCCATCCACAAGCTACATTTATATTTTACAAAGTCTAAGAGAAATACGAAACAGCAATGCTATACAAGGCTCAGTTGTTTAATTCTAAATAAGCACTCCAGGAAGGTAACTTCTCGCCCTATGTTTCCTCATAAATTTTAAACTAAACAATTTTCTTATAATGTATACCTGCATGTAGTATTGGGTGCTTGCAAGTGACGTCACAACTCGTGTTTGTTGACTTCTGCCATTTTGGGTGGCAAATTAAAAACATAGTTAATTAAAAGCAAACATGGCGTCGAAGCAAGACTTTTTTAGCAGTCAGTTGAATAAAATATTTTTGCAACCCAAAATGGCGGATTATTTTTGATGATATGTCATACCGCAAGATATGACGGCATGAAACTACCCATTGGCATTGAAATGAATATAACTGGAATGCTACCTTCAGATAAACTGCCTATCTTTTTCTTGAAGCCAAATCTGACCCCCAGAGTATACCCACGTCGACGTACCCAGGCTCTTTCCTCTGTAAAAGCGTCAGAGAGTGGTAGAATGTTGGAATTTTGCCTCATTATTTCACTCACTAGTTACAGTTAACTCTTGCGTGTGAAACTGGTTGTCCAGTCAAATAAAATATGAAAGTTCAAAATAATTACAAAACATCACTTTTTGAAGTCCCTTGTTTCAAAGCTCCCATGTTTTCCCTACATCTCGGGCAAAAATTACATTGAAAGTCCCTACAAAGTCTTAAGTCACCCAAGCAGAGCTCAGGGTGGCCCCCGGTCGTGAACGTCGATGACACACGCATGCCCGTAAGATCCAGAATAAACCAACACGACCATATGGCTTGATTGCGATTGCTGCAACCCAATGGAAACCAGGATAATATTATACAGTGTATTATACTTTCACAGATGGTTGAATAATGGCAATGCTAAGTAATGGGCCCACGTAATTAAGTAGCGACCATTCGTAACTGTTCAAGATAACGAATGTTAAAGACCTCGAAGCGATTGACTCAAAAGTGCTAAGTTTACAAGTATATGTCAAAGTTGAAATCGCATAACGGAATTTTATGTGGTAGAAAGGAAGGGACAAAAAAGAATATTCCATAGACAATGTTAACAAATTTTACCACCCGAAAGTAGCGCCACCTCCCCTCTTGCAACTAGCGGCTCACCGAAAGTTGTGGCCCACCACCATAGGGACTTTACTTAGCAGGCGGCACTTGAACTATAATTACTAGAAGGCCCTGCACGGGTCTGGTCTAGGCTGGAGTTAATGCATGACAGCTGGAGGAGAACTTCAAACGATCTCCTCCTTAGTTGAGAAAAAATGAACTTCAGGGGCTGGTTGTTCTAAGCTAGATTAGCCCTAACCCTCGGTTAAAATTTAATCTATTTCTGCAAATGTTTTTTTTAACTTCAGAGAACTAGGTGATCTCGGAACTCGGAAAAGGCCTGGCACTAGTTGTAAATAGAAACCATTTCTGGTTTAAAATTACTCGATATCTCATTAATAGTATTAGATTTCTAACTCAAATTTGTTCCAAATATTCATTTCCCTGTGCAAGAAACAGACACAAAGTTTCAAACAGTTTCACAAAAGAATCAGGGTGTGATAAGTGTTTAAAGGTACGAAACTGGATTTCTATTCTGTTGCTAGTCCCAGTCCTGTTGCTCACCGTCAGATCATCTGGAAGAAAAAGTAGAAAACACTTACAGATCCAGACAAGATGTACGTCTTGTAAACTTGCACGTTTTATTTGAAACTAGCTTTATTGAAAATATGTTACAATATGGCGGCTATGGTGAGTACGCGTGTTTATATAACAGTAGGAGACTGGATCTAGTATTACGTACAGGAAGTTAATATAACCGGAAGTGTGACATCCCCCTTTCTTTCTTTTTTTTTTTTTAAGTTTTTTTCTAATTAAAAATTACTTTAAATAATTGGAATAATGTCTCGGAATAATGTCTACTTGCAGAAAAATAACGTAATGTATATTGTCAATAAACTACAAGAAAAATGCTTATCTGCAAAAAATTAATTTAATGTTCAGTCCCTGCTAATAGATCTGCACCTACGAAATGTTCAGTCTTTCTGGTGGTTTAGAGATCCGTCCTGACCTAGTTACACAGTATGGCTGCAACTGACCTACATAACTGATCTTCAGGTGGTGCACTTTCTTCTCGAGATTCTATCATGGGTGGTTCGGTTTCTTGCTTCCGGTTACAGCTCGGCCGAAAAGGTGCGACTGGTCTTAAAAATTGCATAGACTGTGGCTTCGCCTGTTGTTTCTGAATACTGTTCGGTCTTAACTGCGTTCTAGTGCGGCGGTAGATGGATTCTGTTCTGTTATTCTTGACGATGTAAGATCTAGGTTCATTGGCGAGTTTGATGATTGTTCCGGGTTCCCAGGTCTTACTATGGTGGTCGTAGATGTTAACGGGTTCACCTTCGTTGAATGGCTTTAGGATTGGTCCAGCTGTGCGGTTATAGTATAATGCTTGTTGTCCCTGTCGCCGGTGCAACTCATTCTTGGTGATGCTGGTGTCATTATTCACACGAGCCCGCTTCGCCATCGGTAACGTTGTCCTTAACTTGCGGCTGTTCAGCAATTCTGATGGAGATTTCAACCGGTGACTGACTGGCGAACTACGATAGGAAAGTAGTCCTAAGTAAGGATCGGTTCCATCCTCATCACATTTTTTTAGGATACCTTTCACGGTTTGAACCATACGTTCTGAGGAACCATTGGATTGTGGGTACATAGGTGAACTTGTGGTATGCTCAAATCCATAAACACCAGCAAATTGTTGAAATTCGCGGGATACATATTGCGGACCATTGTCAGTCACGAGCTTGTCTGGAATGCCATATTCTGCGAAGATGCTCTTGAGGTGATTAATGATCGCATGGGATGTAGTGCTGGTGAGCTTTCGGACGATGGGAAATTTGCTATACTCATCTGATAACAACAGATACGAATTACCCTTATACTCAAACAGATCGGCGTTGAGTATCTGTCAAGGGTAACAAGGTGGTTCAGGTTGAAGTAGATCCTGTTTTTGCTGCTTACGCTGATGCTTCTGACATGCATCACAACTTTCAACAACTTTGATTACGTCCTTCGTAATTCCAGGCCAAAACACCGCAGATCTTGCTTGGAGCAGACATTTCTCTTGTCCTAGATGCCCTTCATGTATCGGACTTGTAAGGACTTCTTCTCTAAGATTTGGCGGCATAACCATGCGCTCTTGCTTTAGGATGAGGCCATCCTCAATTGTAAGTTCTTCTCTAAAGTTCCAATAATCGTGGAGCAATTGAGGGCACTGTTCTCTCGTGGCTGGCCATCCTTGGTAAACTACCTCGCGTTGTTTATTCAAAACTGGATCGTCTGCAGTCTCATTTCGAATTTGCTGCAGTTTTATAGGAGAAGCTGGAAGGGTGTTAGTAATCTGGTGGATATCTAGTTGTGGAAGTTTACCTTTGAGTGGTACAGCTTGTGGTGATACTCTGGACAGAGCATCAGCGATAGGTACTTGTTCACCTTTCACATACGTCACGGTCACGTCATACTTGAGTGCTCTTAACACGAATCGTTGTAGTCTGGATGGGCAGCTACTCAATTTCTTCCTAAAGATTGTTTCCAAGGACTTGTGGTCGGTGTGCACAATACACTTCTTTCCATACACAAAGTAATGAAATCGTTCGTGCCCCCAAACAACGCCAAGTGCTTCACGCTCAATGTTACTGTACCTTTGCTCAGCTTCTGTGAGAGCCTTAGACGCATAACACACGGGTTGACCTCCTTGTAGAAGCACTGCGCCTAAGCCTTTGAGAGATTCTGCATCAGGGTCGAAATATCGGAGTACGCCCAGCGAAGATACTTCCTTCTTCACTTCATCAAATGCGCGGGTATACTCTGCCCCCCAACAATACGCAACATCTTTCTTGAATAGATCGCGAAGTGGAGATGACAGGGTAGCCAGACTTCCGGAGTACCTTGTTAGATAGCTTACTAAACCGAGAAAGCTCTGTAGACTTTTTGCATCTTCCGGCGGCTTCATACCAAGAATTGCTGATACTTTCTTATTATCAGGCTTCATACCTTGTGGTGTTCAAGAGTGTCCAAAGAAACTCACTTCCTCACATTTGAACTGCAACTTCTCCCTATTAAACACCACACCCTTTACTTGTGCTCTTTCCATAAGCTTGACTAGGTTTGCGTCGTGCTCTTCCTCTGAAGATCCATATACAAACGTGTCGTCTGCTATACCAGTGATGCCATCGAGGCCTTCAAATGCTGTGTCCAGCTGCTTCTGGAATATATCTTGAGAAACAACAAGACCAAAGGGTAATCGGTTGAAACGGTAACGGCCAAAAGGAGTGCTGAAGGTTGTGAGGTACGAGCTTTCTGTATCCAGAGGTACGTGCCAGTACCCCTTCCTTGCATCCACTACAGTGAAGAATTTAGCATCTTTTAGCTCAGTGACCAACTCATCAATTGTCCTCGTGCGATAGTGCTCTCTTTTAACCCACTTATTCAAGTCACGGGGATCCAGGCAAAGTCTTACCTTTACTATCTCTCCTTTGCTGTTGGTTGTCTCGCTCAGCACAACACTATTAACCCAATCTGTCGGTTTCTCAACTGGTGTTATAACACCAAGTTTTAACATATTGTCAATTTCCTGCTTGAAGTGGTTTCTAAGGTGCACTGGAACTTGTCGCGGTGGGTGGATAACTGGTTCTGCATCTGGTTGTAAAGTGATATGGTATGGCTTCATATCCTTGAGTGTACCTAGTCCCTCGAATCTATCCGGGTACTCTTTCAACAGAGTCTCTTTATTAAGAGGCGTAGCCCTCTTAACAACATTTTGTGAATTCGATAGAGTTGGTGTGCTCGCGTGCACATGCATTATTTTACAAGGAAACTGTACCAATCTCAGGTCACGCGATGTTTGACAACCTAGTATGGCAGATCCTTCGACATCCGTAACATTAAATACTATTGGTTTAACTTCATCCATATGATGTATATATAACTGACAGGTGCCAATGTTCCTAATCTCATGACCTCCATAAGCGGTGATTTTTATATTAGGTGGCTCAAGCCGCCTTCGTTTGGGATTGGGAACAATTGTTTCATAGTCATGTTTAGATAGAACATTCAGTTCTGCACCAGTGTCAATTTTACATACTACTGGGATGGTATACTTGTGGTAAGTCTCTGCAGTCAGACGGGTTTCAATCAGTACGTTCTCTCTCTGCTCTGTACTAAGGCTATTAATTTGGTTTGGATTAGCACCAATGTTCGGACACTGTTCTGCTAGTAAAGTACCAAGAAATATTTTTTCATCAATATCTGGTTCATTTGAATTGCTATCATCACGCTCAAGTGAGTTACAGTTTGTTTTGATTGCCTTGAAACACATATTTTGGTAATGACCAGTTTTCTTCCATCCAAAACATTGTGTCTTAATAGCAGGACATTTCTGATCTTTATTGTGTGCTGTATTCCCACATCTAGTGCATACTGGCTTATCCCATTTCATTCTATATCCCTTTTGCCCCTTTTGTCTATCATACAATGGTTTGGTCTTACCTCGATTCATGTTTCCTCTCCTGTTTTTCTGCAATGAGTCTACCTGTGTAGGGTTTGAAACATCTCTGGTCATCACCTTTAGCTGTTGTCTGGTAGCTTCCTTGGTGCGGGCGATTTCTCTTGCTTTCATAAGAGTTAGTTCATTCCCTTCAGCAATACATTTCTTACGGACTGTATCTGAATCAACTCCAAATACCAAAGCATCTCGCGTCAATTCGTCATGTATTTCATCCAGATAACCACTGTTCTGAATAAGGAGGTTTGCTTACGTTAAAAACTCGTCGAGCGGTCGGCTATTCTGCTTCAAGTTTCTGAGATAGAAACGGTTGAGAAGATGGTTGGACTGAGGTTTTACGTGATGTTCAAATCTTTTCCAATACTCGTCTAATTTGTCTTGATCGGCTTCACTCAAATTCCATGTATTATAGAGATCAAGAGCATAATCTCCTACCCATAGGAGAACATATCGACATTTCTGCTTAACAGTTCGATCTTTCAAAGGACCATCAAACAGTAATTCACACTTCTGCCGAAATCGCTTGAGCCGTTGTGGCAGATCTGGTCCGGGTGTCCAATCGATTCTTGGCGGTTCAAAGCCAGCTAGATCACTCATTTCGTTAACAAGTAACCAAGTACTTATTGTGTTGGGTTTTTAGACCTTCTAGTCATCAATCCCATACCTGACACAATGTAAACTTGCACGTTTTGTTTGAAACTGGCTTTATTGAAAATATGTTACAATATGGCGGCTATGGTGAGTACGCGTGTTTATATAACAGTAGGAGACTGGATCTAGTATTACGTACAGGAAGTTAATATAACCGGAAGTGTGACATCCCCTTTCTTTCTTTTTTTTTTAAAGTTTTTTTCTAATTAAAAATTACTTTAAATAATTGGAATAATGTCTCGGAATAATGTCTACTTGCAGAAAAATAACGTAATGTATATATTGTCAATAAACTACAAGAAAAATGCTTATCTACAAAAAATTAATTTAATGTTCAGTCCCTGCTAATAGATCTGCACCTACGAAATGTTTCGTCTTTCTCGTGGTTTAGAGATCCGTCCTGACCTAGTTACACAGTATGGCTGCAACCTACATAATTAACTACAGGAAGTTAATATAACCGGAAATGTGACCATGATTATTCAAAAACATGTCTATAATCTGTTCGAAAATGTTTCCTCGGTTTGGAATTGTGCAAAATGTTTTAAATAATTGCATATTTTAAACAATTTGCATGGTTTTGTAAAACCGATTAGTCAGTGAGATACCGGGGAACTATGTTTTATAATTGAAATTATAGTGGAAGACCCTTCATTTTTTATTATCAACCTTTTATTATCTGCAAAAGTTTAAAAGTCAATGCTCTCATTAAATCGGATTTAAGTTTTATCATTATAATTTCTATAGTTATACCTTCACGGTGCTTGAATCCAATTGCCCTTGGAATGGAAAACAAACAAATCAAAGACCATCAGATTACCGCATCTTCAGAACTTTATGACGCGAAATACCGCGACTGTTGCACAGCTGCCAATGGCAGAGCGAACGCAACTATATTCTTACGCCATAGTGCATGGATAGCACTATTGACAGATCAAGATATGTGGTTTGAAGTGGATTTCGTATATAATACAACTGTGAAAGAAATAATGACTCAAGGAAGGCAACATTACGATCATTGGGTGAAATTCTACAAAGTCACATACAGAAACGAAACTGACGCCAAATTCCATACGTATGGAATGGGTGATGGCTTCAGGGACAAGGTATACGTATAATATTTTAATTATTATTTAACGTAAGATTGTCGAATTACAAGGCCGGTTATGGTGGTAAGCAAACATATGGACACTTTCATAAGATTTTCCCAGATGTTTTACGCAATATATTATAATAAGCGAGAAGGCGACTTAGACTTATTTCAAACATTGCATTATGTACATGCAAAATTTAATGTCTGAAACAATTAAATTCGACGACTTGCATATTAGTCTAAATATTAATCTATATAAAAAGGGGAATAAAACACTATAGCTCAAAAGAACGTAATGAAATTTGTAAAATTGAAAAATTTGGTTCCGAAATTATATAAAGCTTGGAAATTATAGCCTTGCAAAGTTTGCAAATGTTGTATATGTTTGCATTACGTGCGGAAATTGTTACCATTTTGGGCTCAAAAATGGTAACAATTTCCGCACGTAATACAAACATAACTAGAAAATTCATGCATGCAGAAACCCTAGCTTTGCTGACAAAACCGTTGTATTTTCCTAACATCAAGTATTTAAAGACCATGTAAAGTCCGTTCTGCGCATACGTTCTGCGCAGGCTTACATTCCAATGGTCGGGACCCGACCGTTGGAATGTTATTAATATTTCGTATCTTTTGAACTTTCTTGAATTGAATCTCTAGTCTGTATTCATTTTCAAGCATAGCGAACCAGAAGAGTGTTAAAAATTCAGTATAATATATATCTAATCATATTTTACAACTGTAGCACTGAGTTCAAAATGTAAACAAAGCGTTTGTTTACATTATGGACTTTACATGGTCTTTAAAGTATAGTTGTCATGGTAACACGATAATTTTTTAAGAAAATTTTTACAAATGAAAATTGCCCTAAATATATCACTTTTAATTACAAATTTATCAATTTCCCATGCATATATATGTCAGGTATGTTATTAGTATAGGTAATAGCATGGTTTTGAGTGCAGTTTGGATATAACATGTACGAGTGAGTTTTTCAAAGACCTCAAAATTGCACGAGTCCGAAGGACGAGTGTCATTTGAGGTCTTTGAAAAACTCACGAGTGCATGTTTATCCAAATTTCACGAGAACCATGCTATTACTTATTAATAATTTACATAAAAAGGTTCGAGACAATTGTAGTTTTTTTTAACTTACGCGTTTATAGCAAACATTCCATACCTAATTTTAAGTATTTTTTTTATCACTACACCTTTTTGCGCAAAGTTTAGCCACGCAGAAGCACGCCCTGAAAATTTCTGAACAAACTTTTATAATAATGTGTAACCACAAAACAGGCCACAATTGATATTCAAAAATGCCGAAACCAACATACACTGCACAGCACCCAGGGAAATTTGGGTACCCAGGGCCAAATTTTACTTGGGGCCCCTCGTAATTCCATCTTCTAACACTATGATTAGGGGCCCGGGGGCATTCTCCCCGGGAAAATTTTTAAATCTGAGGTCCCATAAATGGCAAAATTCTGCATTGTGGAAGTCTGTTGACAGTTATATCTATGTATATTTTAATGTAATTATTTATTTGGGCCCCCTTTAACTGAGGCCCCAGGAAAAATTGGCGCCTCCACCCCTATGGACGGCCTTGACAGCACCTACAGTTACAACTATCTATGACAGCATAATTTCATAATCACCAAGAAGTATTCTCGAATTGGCAAATGAAAGGCAGCTTAGGAGTGACAAACCTCTAGAGGAGTTCCAGGGGTATGCACCCACAGAATATTTTGCAATCCAGGCTTTCTAAAAGGGAATTTTGTGCAATGCGCGGAGACATTCTATAGAATTCTGAAGATTACACATTAATTACAAAAAGATAAGTATCATTCACTTCATCGTCCAAGCTCATAAAGAGATCTTTGGTGAGAGACTTTGTTCATCTGATGAACCTAAAGTATAATATTAGTGCGGACGTTTCTGTTATTAATCAAAATGTTTTGATTAATACTGTCAAGTGTCAAGACGAATTTTTAGTTCAGTTCTTCTGCTCATTGCCTCATTTTCTTGTTAAGTAACAACTTATCACATTAAATTTTATAAATGCACATTTTACATTTTACCACTGCACATTTTAGTTTTATCACTGCACAAATTGGTTTTCACTGAACACTAAAATTAGTTATGAAACATTCCACTGGCAAAGTTTTCGATTGTTATATCACCTTATACAACGCTAACAGCTTGAAAATTCCACTCAACTATGTAATTTTTGTTAGTCTTGTTTAAGGTAAATGCTTTTCCATTTAAAAATAAATATGAAAGCCATATTTTCCACGCGAAGGCAACTTTTACTTTATATAGCGCGGCGCCATGTTTGTTTTGTTTTGAAGCAATCTGTGACCGTTACTACTTTAAACTAAATTGTTTTAAACTGATTGGTTGATTTAATCATCACAATGTTTTTCCATCAATCAGATCAGTTTGTTACAGACTGTTGCACTGTGATTACAGAAAATTGCACTGTAATTACAGAAAATTGCACTGTGATTACAAAAAATTGCACTGTGATTACAGAAAATTATTATTTATTATTATTATTATTATTTAATCTTATTTAATCACGGTAGCCTTTCAGAAGTACATCTGTTTTAAAAAAAAACACTGTGACTACAGAAAATTGCACTGCTGTTTAGGATTAACTTAGATCAACCAATCACAGTCGAGTAACATCGTTATGTATATTATTATACGTAATAGACCTTATTCATAAATCGTGATCGAAGCCTCGTATCCTAGGAAACGGGGAAAAACGCGGGAAAATTGACAAAATGTTTTTTTGCTGTCAATATTACGGCTTTTTTCGAAAATAATATCTATAAAACTGAGTTTGAAAGTTGAAAAAAATACTTCTGAGAAAATATAACATGATTTTTAAAGCAAAAGATGCTGGAGTCAATCGAAAGAGGAAACATTTGGCTTTGTATTATTGTCGTAGTTTGTATGGCCAAAACAAGGCTACAAAAGTCTATACAACACCAAAATCGTAAGAAATATGAAACTATTGTTGAAGAAATAAGATTACAACTCACTCAGGTAATGTAGCCTTAATTTTTAAACTTGTAAGCAGTGGCGTAGCTAGCGAAATTCGACAGGTCCTGCTCTAAAATTCACACTTTCTAGGGGGGTCCGGGGGCATGCTCCCCCTGAAAATTTTCAATTTTAGAAGTCTGGAATGGCCATTTCCTGCGATTTCACGGCGAAATACTCCAAAGAGAAGATCAAAAAATTGTGTGATTTAGTGGAAAATTTTTGATAATTTTTGAAATCGTTTTTCCATATTTATCATAGCGGGGGGGGGGGGTGCTACCCCCCAATATTAGCTATAACCCCCTCCCCCCCCCAAAAAAAGGTCCACCCCTCCAAAAAAAAATTTAACCTCCCCCCCCAATATTCGGCATAATAAAAAATAATTAAATAGTCCACTCCAACATGCAGAGTGTTGATGATACAAAATAAACGTAGGAGTACACTCGAACAGAAAAAGACACTCTGAAACTAATCGCTCTTCGCTTGCATTCACTGCTTTATTGGAGCAATTGTAAAGTTTTGAAACTCTATTATCTCCCCTGAATAGAGTTTGCAGTGCCTTGTCATGCAAATAGCTTGCTTGCAAGGAACGTTTGGAATTTTTACGAACATTATTTTTAGTTTTTAATTCTTTTAGGAAATAGACTTGCCTATAGATTTAATCTTTACGCCCCAAATATTATTTACATCGGAGTTGCATCATAAATTGTACTCGGATTCAAACGACACAAGCCTATTGGGTTTACACTTTTACAGGTTCATTTAACTTTAACTCTCTCAAGTCTCAACAGACAATCGGACATGCCAAATCCATTGATATGACAACTTCAAAAACCGTTTTTTCGAAGCTAGAAATCATGATTTTTTTCAAATTTTTCCGGGGATACTTTGTTTTCTGCTCTCTAGACTCCCCCTCGCGGCTCTAGTGTTCCACCCCTAGAATATAGACCTTACTGGGGTTTGGTAACACTTTGTGTTGCTTCAGTCACCTGCTCACGGCTCACCCCCCTAAAATTTCTGGCACCACCCTAGTAAAAAATATGAAAATTCGTCTATGGTGCCTGTTGAATTTACAACACTATATATAATTGGCTAGCATTCGTTAAAAAATTACTAATGTGTTAATAAACTATATTAAACGGAGTGGTATCAACTACGAGTCTACGAACCATTACGCTTGGCAGCCTAGACCTAGGCCTTCTAGTTTTATTTATACTTTTTTAATACTCAGCGCTTTTTCACATGAAAAGACTGGGACTAGGTGATTTGGGGGCGGGGCGGAGGAAGCAAGCCTAGAAGGCCTAGTGGATTTCCCAACAACAAGGCCAAAACTGCCCTGAAACTGCCCTGGTTGCGAAATGCCCAATTATTACGTTCTCAAACAGAATTATTTGCAACTTAACGGCGAATTTAAACCGATACAGGTAAAATGAACTCATTTATTACTATAAACTTACTATTTTTATTTGTAACACGTCTAGAAAATCGGGGTTTTAATCATAAAGTTCGAAGCAACACTATTATTTAATATGTTGACAAGGTGTAGCGAAAGCACAAAATGAGTCAAAATATATACCAAAAGTAGAATTTTTCATGAAATTTTGTCTTATACACAACTACATTAATATATATTTTCTCAATTTTGGCAAGAAGCAGTCTTGTGTTTGTAAAATATACAAACACATATACAATTATAATTTATTAAATAAAACGGATACATATATTATTAGCCCGTACAGTACTGTATATAAAAACGTACATTGTTTACTAATGGTATATCCGTATTAAATATTTGAACAATAATTTCAAAATCCTCATTCCCAATTCGCAAATATAGTTATTCAAAGCAAAACAGTAGATTGTCTTGCGAATAAAAGAATTATTATTTTGTGCTTTCGCTTCACCTTGTCAACATAATAATAGTGTTGCTTCAAACTTTATGATAAAAAAACCCCGATTTTCTAGACGTATATACAAATA